ACGGATTTCGAACGGGGAGGATTTGAAGACGCTAAAGCAAATCTCCAACTTGAAAATTTTTTTGGCGTGTCATTGTGCGACATTTATTCCGCATTTACCACCTCATCAAGCGATCGTTTCTTTTTCTTTCAACCAAGATGTCGAATCCTCCAACCTGCTCGTTCAGAATATATACAGAAATTTATTCGAATCGCAACAAACGAAAGAGGAATCTCCCTTCTCTTGGAATCGGATGGATCGAGCTTTGAGACGGCCCATTCAAACAGACCGGCGATATACAGATCCGCGCACGAGTTTTCGGTGGAAGAATATTTTTCTCACGAAACGATATTTTACGTTTGGAGTGAGAACGACGGCTGAGGACGAAGTTCATATTGTTCAAACCACAGCCGCTCCTCTCGCCTATTACGAATCATCGTCCCCCAATCTGAAGGAAAGAAGTTTTAAAGTCAGCGACAGGATGAAATATAAGAAATATATTCTAAGACCTTTTCAAAACTATGTCGTTCCCCCGAAAACGCAATATCTCATCGTCACAACCCAGAAGAGTCTCTTTCTCGTCGATCGGTGCTCGTACTCGCTTTGGAAACAATTGAAAGAGGAGATTTCTTTCCAATCGCCGATGATGTTTCAAGAAAAAGAAGAAGAAAACCCTCCGCCACCTTTACCCATCCCTTCCTTAGATGATAAGAGGAGCTGGACCAAACCGTTATTTCCCGAAACAAAATCGACCCGGCAACGGAATGAAATTGAAGTCATCACAATTGAAGATGAGGAGGAAGAAAAAAAATTACCTCTTAAAAACGGTCGACTTACCGGAACCTACCTGGCGTGCAAGATCCGCTTCAGAATCCAGAAGCTTCTTCTTCTTCTTCTTCCCCGACTTGTTCAAACAGGCAACCTCTTTCGGACTCCTCACAGACAGAACCTCTTCCAGTATCCTCTTCTTCTTCTTCTTCTTCTTCTTCTCCAACCTGTCCCGACATCGTAGAGGTAGAATGTCAGACGGGTCCACAAGCTTCAAAAAGTCCCGACATCGTAGAGGTAGAATGTCAGCCGGGTCCACAAGTTCCAACAGGTCCAGAAATCATGGAGGCAGAATCACAGCCCGGGTTCACAAGTTCCAACGGGTCCAGAAATCATGGAGGTAGAATTTCAGCCGGGTAAACAAGTTCCAACGGGTCCAGAAATCATGGAGGTAGAAATCGCAGCCGGGTCCAGACATCCTAGATCCCTCCACTCATCCCAAAGAGACTCCAAGTGTTTCAAGACAGCCTTGTGAGGATCCAGCCCTTCCCGTATGGAATGATTATATGGACTTACAAAATTTGGTGCAACAGGAAGGAGAAGAAAATAATCATACGGATGGGTGGGTCAAAGACTGTTTAGATCATTTAACCTCGAATGAAATTGAACTGTTATGGAATTGCATTTCTGAAATCACATCGGAAATGGGATAAAAACCAAAACAAAAAAAAACAATTTTTTTAATAACAAATTGGAGGAGGGTCATGATGTCAATTAAAAAAAATATTATATAGAGTCCAATCTTGGTGGTTCACTTCAGTTTTCCAGCATGAGGTGATCCACGTTTCCCGAAATATGGATCCCATTCCAAGAGAGATTGTGTAGAGCCTTCACTTCAGTTCTTTTTTTTTTCCTACCAAGAGGAGAGGGTCCCCAAAGGGCTACCCATGTCCAAAGAGAGAAAGTGTAGAGCGTTCATTTCAGTTTTTTTCCAAGTTTAGGGGAGGGAGGTCTCAAAATGACACCCCCCCATTTTCAAAGAGAGATGGTGTAGAGCGTTCATTTCGTTTTTTTTTTTCCAAAGTTAGGGAGTTTTCAAATGACTACCCATTTCAGAGCAAGAAAGAAAGAGAGAGAGAAGGTGTAGAGCGTTCATTTCAGTTTTCCAAGGTTAGGATGGTGGTGGAGAATCCTCCAAAATGGCTACTCATCTCAAAGAGAGAGAGAGAGAAAATGCGTAGAGCGTTCATTTCAGTTTTCCAACATTAGAAGGTCCCAAAATACCTTCTGAATTCAAAGAGAGATCGTGTAGAGCGTTCATTTTCAGTTCTTCAAGATCAGAAGAAGAGGGTCCGCTTTTCAGAGACAGCGAAGTGCAGACTTCAGTTTTCTCCCTCCCCAAGAATAGAGGTCCCAAAATGGCTTTCCCATTTCAAAGAGAGAGGGAGAGGCGTTCATTTCCATTCTCCAAGATAGGGTCGTCTGCTTTTCCCAAAATGGCTTCCCAATTCAAAGAGAGAGAGAGAGTGAGTAAAGGGTGTGTAGAGCGGTCATGTTCATTCTCCAAGATAGGGTCGTCAGCTTTTTCTCAAAATGGCATCTCCCCATTCAAAAAGAGATCGTAACCAATTTTTTCCAGTTTTTTCCAAGATGGGGGGGGGGAGAAGAAAACCTAGGATGGAATAACACGACACACAGAGAGAAAGAGAAAAAAAAACGCCATCTTGTCATTTTCTGATAGGGTACCGGTGTTCGAATACTTTTGTGACCGACTGTACATTGAACGAAAGACTTGCTATGAACTTGTTATTACGTCACGATTATCCATAACTGATGCTATTTGCTCAGCATGTCAGCAATTTCACAGTCGATTGGATAGTATTATTAGTAATATAATAGTTGAATGGTAGGGTAATATCCGGGGTTATATGTAAATACCGAATTTCATTAATTTTTCTGAACATTAACGGAGCGGTAAAGCCATTCTGCCAATATGGTGAAAAGTAATAGAACACCCAGTCTCTGTATAGCAGTTTCATATAGGCTATTTAAACTGAGGCTGAGTTTTATTTATTTATTTAGTCTTTATTCCGTGTCTGAATTTGAACTCTTTACCTCTTTCCCTCCACTCAACGGTATAAATTTTTGCCTTTCGGGTTAGAGAATTTAGTTTACGGTGCACCAAGCGACAACTGTCTATTTGTCTCTCTCCGCCTCCAGTTACGGAAATTGGCATCTACATACTGAAGTCAATTAAAACATGGCTGATAGTGATTCTGAGCGATATACGAACGATCTCATTAATGATGTCGATAATTCCAATATTTGTGATGACAATAATTTTGCGACAGGACCTCGAGTTGTGACTATATATAAAACCGAGACAGGTTTCGGGTTTAACGTCCGAGGACAGGTGAGTGAAGGAGGCCCTTTAAAAAGTATCAACGGTGAATTATACGCCCCATTACAGCATGTAAGTGCGGTTTTGAAAGAAGGCGCAGCAGAAAAAGCTGGTATACGTAAAGGTGATCGAATATTAGAAGTGTAAGTTTTTCTTTTTCATACCCTAAAGCTAGCGTAATTATTTAATTTTTTTAAAAAATGTTACTTTACTTGTTCAGAAATGTACAAAGTTTAAATTTTATTGTTGTAATACGATTGGGACATTGCAATAAGTATATTATCATTTATATATTTATATAAATTTTATTAGCTGTTTATTTAATAATATTTATACAATTATATAATATTTTATTAGCTGTTTTGTACGACTAGTTTATGAGACGTTATCACAAATATGAGTTGCATAATCGTTCACTTTTAGGCTGCGTTTTATTGAATTTTTTAATCTCGACGTTTATATGTTCGTTGCTTCCGACGCATGTGAGATTTCGCCATATAGAAACATAGTATTACACTAAAAAATTTATAATTTAGCATTGTAACAGTTCCAAATATAAAAAAATGTAATATCCGTAAAATATATGCACTGAAAAAACATTCCTATGTTTATGAGAATAATTACTGTAATGCAAAAATTTAATATGATTTCTAATCTAAATCTGTTTGTTTTCAAACCTAAATTTTGTTTCAGTTATCTATCAGTTAGTGCTGTTTCCTAGTAAATTTCTTTTTATGATATTTCCCGTTTGCTCTTCTCGAGTATTTAGCAATGTTAATGCTACTAAGTATTGAATTATATTGAATGAATTTATTAAAAATTTTTATACTGTAGATTTTGGAGAGAATTGTGTGATATATATAAATATATATTAGTGTAGATTCATAAACAATTAAGGTTTTAAAATTTAAGGTTATGAATTAAAAATTTGAACTTCTTGTGTGATTTTTTTATTTATACTGAGGAGTTAATGAAACATAAATTTAAACAAATTTTCTCAATTTATTAGTATTCTGACCATGTATTCATCAAATGCTAAATTTGAAAAATAGTTATTCTTAATAATTCATGGTCTGTTTTAGAAGCTCCTCATTTTCTCATCTTTACTGAATTTAAATTCAGAGTAATATGTGTGTATATATCTGTGTGTGTGTATTCAAAAGAAAGTTTGAGTTTAGATTGAAATTCTTTCTTCCCTATCTTGACTGTGATATTCTGAAGTGTAATAGCTCAGAAATAACTCTTATATTCTTATTACATGCATTTTCATGTCTCATTTATAATTTATATTATTGTATTTAAATGTAAGTGTCAATTTGATAAATGAGATTTTTTTTTAAACGAATAAAATTATGTTTTTCAGCTATGTATTATTTTTCAATATCTTATTATTAACTAAGTAGAATTTTAATAGGATTTCACAGTTTCATAGTAGCCAAGTGAATGAGACTGACTACTGTTAATTTGTCCCAGGCTTAAATCCTGGTGAAGGAGCTATCAATTTTCTTGATTTCCCCTCATATGTGTCATAAATATGAGCCAGTTTCCCTTTGAAAGTCCCTCTCAAAGGCATTTCTCCCCTTAGGCAGATAGCCATTGCATACCTTTGTCTTAAACAATGTAACAGAGCAATTCACTTACAGTTTTAAAGTTGTTCATTGTAGCATTTAATTTAGCCAGCATTTACTATCTTTATGTAGAGCCAAAATAACAAGTCAAAGAATTGCACAAACTCGATATCCATGTACACATTGACCTATTCTCACTAAAAAAAAAAAAAACTAGGCATTATGCACTCCTTTGACTTTGTCCATGTACACATGATGTGATTTTCACTTAAAAAACCAAAGGAGCACTCAATTCTACAGTAGAGCCAAACAAAAAATGTATAATTTCAAACTACATTTTAAACCAAATAATGAAATAACATAAAAAAGAAAATTTGTCTGAGGAACACAAAGGCAATATCCACTTACCTTATTTAGAAATTTCTGTGTCTTCAGTCAAACAAAATTCTTTAACAGCATCCAAAAACTTCCTAAAATTATCTGAACTAGAATCCTATCAAGTGGAGATGCCACATTAAATTTCACAAAAATATAAAAAATCCATAGTGGCAGTATCCTCCGTATCATTGCGACCACACGCATATGTATTTCCTTCATACAAACAGGATACTTATAATGGCTACTAAGTAAACCTTCATTTACATGCCAGTCAGTTAATGCTCTTTTTCCCTTTCATTCCAAATCGTACAGAAACTTCAAATTAATCTTACTACATTCAGCCATTCTACCATCTAAACTACAAAACAAGCAATGTATTTCCTAACCAACACACACCACAAACCCCTTACAAATCTTTCTCATCATTCAAAATTTATCGCAACCACACATCCAATTACGTCATAATAGGATTTCCATTACATTCAACTACTCAGGTTACTATAAATGAAACAACCTGGTGATAAATGAAGCAACAGCTTGGCGATAAACGAAACAACTTTGCGATAATATAAGGGACACCCTTCAATCTACTCTAACCAGCTTCTCTTAAATTTAGCAGCCTTTCACTTTGTTTCATCATATTCAAAGTGATGTAAATGTTATCAATAAACAAACAACAAGTTTTATTTTGAACTGGTTACTGAGTACTGGAACTTCACTGTTGGATATATTAAAAAAAAAAAAAAAAAGTTATTGGATATAGATAATTCACTGATTGAAGAAAGTGATTATGATAAACTTCCATTATATCAAAAAGCAGAACCAAAATAAATGCAGATATTTAAATATGATATGCAGAGGTGGATTTAAAAAATCACCCACATAAATATTTAAATTCATAAGCATAATTATTGCATGTAGACTTATAGTAGTGAACTACTTAGTGGCAAAATATGCCGTGATTGTGATTTTTAATAGTGTCTTGATAATACTTTGAAAATAGTTGAAATATCTGAAATACTTGAAAATTGTTTGCAAATGTTTGCTTAATTAGTTGTGCAGAAGTTTTAGGAGAGAAAAGATCTTCACCTTTCAAATGAATATAAGGAGAAAACAATTATGTAAAGTATTTTTCCTATTAATTGTAAATTCTTAGTTTCATGATTTTTCTTATATTTGTAATGCTGCTTAATTTTGCCTCTTGAAAATTTTTGTCTTCTTTGCTTGCTTCAAGTCATTATTTTCTTTTAAATATTAATGTTTGAATTTATGATTTTTATCATATTAAAATGTATGTTTTCATTGCTTAATTTAGTACTTGTGTATTATTATCTTGTAGACTGTGAAATTTTGCCAAGCAGTGACATGATGTCACAACACACTCATAGCATCTGCCCTTTTGGTAACTATGTGTAAACAGTAGTAATGCAATGTGAAAAATTGTGACAAAAGAATATCCATTAAGAAATGAAAGTGATTCAAGGACTATAGAATCATATTTGTGGGTGTACTCTGGTTCATTTACAAATAGCTGGTAGAGAATTAATGTATATTGAACGAGGAAAAGAACTGCTGGATAAATGGCTGAGAAAACAGTAATGAACTGGAATGATACTTGCAGGAAGTTTGCACTCATAATGTTCTAAACAGTAAAAGAGAGCTTAACAAAAATAATATAATTAAAAAAAAAAAAAAAAAAACTTTTTAGGAAGTGGAAAATATACTTGCACTGTATTCGCTGTTTGGTAGATAAACTGATGAATGTTTTATTGTAAGAGTTAAAGATAGAAGTGCAGCTTAGAATTCTACAATAATAATTGCTCAAACTTTGGCAGCATCTCTGCTAACTTTCATGGCTTAGTGGTACTAAACTTCCATGATTGATGAGATAATACATAAGTGTCCTTAATTTTATGTATGTTTGTGATAACAATAAAATTTATTGTAAATAATAATAATGATAAACTTTATGCTGTTTAAGAAAGAGCAGGCTTTAAAGGGCCTGGCAAGTTACTTTGCATATTATTTAAGGCTTTTTGTGCAATATGCAAAGGAAGGTTACTGATGTTAGAAAAGGTGTTGATCATGATAATCTACTATTATCTTAAAGAATAAAAACTGAAAATAAGTACATACAATAAAAGCCTGACTATCCAGTATTCAACTAACCAGAAGACTCAAGTAATTGGAATATTTAATAATTTTAGAACCCCCCCCCCCCCCATAAAAAATAGTAAATGAGGGATTTGAATCGGAGTATTTTCAAAGTTACAGGATCTGGGTATAAAAAAGAGTACAATGCACAAATTTTAAATCGGATAAAAATGGCAGTGTAACATAAAAAAGTGATTTAAGATTTTTATCTGTAATTTGTATCGGTTTATTTAAAATACTTTTATGCATCCCCCCCCTTAAAATCTTATATAATTTTAAATCTGGGCATTTGATATTTAAGTTGGTAACAAATAAGATGATTATTTTTACAATTTTAGAATGAAAAATTTCTCATTAGTATTAAATTCCAATTTTTATACATTCATCAACCCAGAATTTTCACTTGTCCGGAATTTGTGATTTCCTGAGCTTTCCCTATGATCGAACTTTTATTGTGTATCTAGATATGATAGAAAGAGATTGATGTTATAAAATATATTGTATTCATTTTATGTTTTATTCTATATTATTGAAGTTTCCTTTGAATGATATCTAAAAGAACATTAAATGCTATTATATTAATTGTAAACTGCTGTTTTATTACTATTTTATGTTTGCAAAGACAAATATTGTGCTTATTTAATACTTTTTATTATTACATTCGTGTATGTTTTTTTTTAAGGTTTTCTCATTATAAATGTTAATATTCAGTTTAAGGTTTCTTATTAGATTTAAGTATATATCTATTTAAAGTTGCTGTCTAATTTTATATATATGAATGTGATTACAATATTCATCATAAATCTATAAAAGAAAAGAAAAATAATTTTTAGCCCAAAGGAGCATTAACCCAGAAAGGCTATTAGTATTGAAATGGCATGGAGGAATGCCTTGGTGCATTGGTTCACTATAAATGACATATTGCTTTTTAAATTGTTGCCACCAAATATTATCGACCTGTATTATATTTAAAGAAATTAAATAATAAATGGTACTCTTCTGTTATCAGGACCATGTTAAAAAATGTATCTATATATGCATGT